CTCCTCCTCCTCCTCCTCCTCCTCCTCCTCCTCCTCCTCCTCCTCCTCCTCCTCCTCCTCCTCCTCCTCCTCCTCCTCCTCCTCCTCCTTCGCCATGCCAGGCAGGCGGGGGCGGGCACACCCAGCCTCGGGCGCGGCCCCGGGGGCTCGCGTTCCGCACGCTCCTGCTGCTCTCGGCGCTCTCGGCGCTGGCCGGGGCGGCGCCGCGGGGCTCGGCGGGCGCCGTGGCCTCGGGAGCGGCAGGCGATCACGGGGATCGGGAGGAGGAGGAGGAGGAGGAGGAGGAGGAGGAGGAGGAGGAGGAGGAGGAGGAGGAGGAGGAGGAGGAGGAGGAGGAGGGGGGGGGAGGAGGGGGAGGAGGCGGAGAAGGAGGAGGCGGAGGAGAATGGGGAGGAGATCGCCGAGACATCGCCGATGAGGGTGAGGAGGACCAATGCAAACCCAAGACACGTCAACGATGTTGCAATAGCCTCTCCCAATTCCCGTTCATGGGCACCCAAACAAAATACATTCATTGCGGGAAATGGCCCACTAGAAGACAACCGTGCCAAAACACCGCTGCTGGGACTCCAACGCCACGGATCAACGTGCCTCCTGCGTCCAGACGATTCTAAATCGTGCCAGAATAACAATCCTGTGATGTTAACACCGCGAATCAACATTACGATTGCGTCCTGACAACCCTAAATAGTGCCAGAACACCGTTCCTGGGACTTCGACCATGCGACACCTTGAAACAATGGACAAACTGACAAAACGAATGTGCGCGGCGCTACAGTCGAACCGCTTAGTGCAGATACGCGGCTTCGCAAGGGTACCCTTGCATCCTTGCCAATTCGGTCATCTTCGGCCCATCCTCGGCCACTTTCGATGGCCAGCCACGTTCGAAGAGCCTCGGCATGGGCGCCCAAGGCACTTGCATCCTTGCCGCACATCCTTATCACGCGACTTGGCTGTAATGCGAGAGACACATGTTCAAAAAATATCCGCCTTCCATCATTTAAACGGTTGCAAACTTTCGAAACGAATGTGCGCGGCGCTGAGGCGACGGACAGATTTCAAAAAGCAGCCGCTCTCCATCACTGAAACTGCTGCAAACTTTTGAGACGAATTTACGTGGCGCTACAGCGAGGGCCACATGTTGAAAAGGAACCACCCTCCATCCTTGAACCTGCTGCAAACTGTCAAAGCGAATGCGCGCGGCGCAAGGGCGAGAGCCACATTTTGAAAACCATCCGCCCTGCATTCGAGCAACTGTTGCGAATTCCAAGCTTCAGGGTCATAAACGGCGAATAGCCTGAGGCGAAACGCCAGGCCCGCCATCCGACACGTCTGGGGGCGCGACATGAGGGATCTATATAGAAAGACAAGGGGTGGAGGAGGAGGAGGAGGAGAGAATGGGAGGAGAAGAAGGAGCAGCAGAGGGAGGAGAACAGGAGAATGAGGAGGTAAAGAGGAGGAAGGAGAAGGGGGAAGGAAGGAGGAGGAGGAAGAAGGAAGGAAGGAGCGATTGGAGGAGAAGGAGGAAGGGGAAACAGGAGAATGAGGAGGAGCAGCAGGAGGGAGGGAGGGCGGCGGAGACGAGAAGCAACCGGCGCGCGCGCGGGGCCTGCTCGTCGTCATGCGGCGCCTGCTCCATATCTGGGGCCGCTTGCGGGGTAGCCTCCTCCCCCTGCTCTGCTCCACCACTCGAACCTCCTCCTCTCCTCCTCCTCCTCCTCCTCCTCCTCCCTCCTCCTCCTCCTCCTCCTCCTCCTCCTCCTCCCCCCCCCTCCTCCTCCTCCTCCGCCTCCTCCTCCTCCTCCTCCTCCTCCTCCTCCTGTTCCTCCTCTTCCTCCTCCTGCTCCACCACTCCGACCCCACGCAAGGTCGCCCACGCACGGTCTCCCGCCACCTCCACCACGGACGACGGAAGCTCTGCCGCACCCCTGCGGGGTCAACGATGCACCGATACGTTGCTGTCACCGTCGCTGGAGGGAGGCCACCCCTTCTCTCTCGGGTCTCTAGAAGTATAGGACCGTCCAACAACTTCCGAAACGCCCACTGACATTCAAGACAGGTTCCATCTTCTTGCTCCTCCTCATGCTCCTGCTCCTGATCCTCCTGCTCCTCCCGCTCCTCATGCTCCTTCTCCTCCTTCTCTTCCTCCTCATCCTCCTTCGCCTCCTTCTCTTCCCTCTGATCCTCGTCGTTGTCGTCAAACTCGCCACATCGCCGCCACGCCTCATCACCCTAATGCTCTAGTCGCCCCACGACCTGCTCACTGGACCTCCTGGAAGCGAAAGGATGCGATGGGATAAGATAGGAAGCGGCAATGTGGATACCGACTGAACTCACACTTGCCTATAGGCAGGGACCCAAATGAATACACAATTTGAGAGATGCCCATGAAGAAGCGCAACGAAGCGAGTGGAAACGGCAGGATAGGAGTGGAAGCGATATAATGCATAGCCAAGGAATCATAGAAATGTCTACGGCCATTATCCATGGGACCCCAGTGGACACCATTTGACTCGCATGCAAGCACATGGGAATGCAATGCAAGCATCAGGAAAACATGGGAAGCACGGGAGTCCATAAGGATGCACAAACATGTAGGAACACATATGCAGACGTAGGAGCACCAAGTGACACATAGGAGCAGACATGGACGTACTGGAAGACACTTCACCATAATACGTTCAAACAGATCGGAAGGATTAGGAGTCCGTTGCCATACCACGGAATTGATTGCCACTCACACCAATGGAATACGCAAGATCTTACAAGAGTAAAGGGGCACTCGGGCCAGTTCCAGGCAGTGAGTGGAAACTCCAAAACAATCCTGTTCGGGCAATAGTCATGATCATTATCATGATCGCCGCCATCACCATCATCACCGTCGTCAGCATCATCATGAACATCATCATCGTCATCATCATCAGCAGTACCACCATCACCATCATCATCATCATCATCATCATCATCATCATCAGCATCCACATCATCAGTATCATCAACACCATCATAATCACCATCATCATCATCATCCTCATCAGCAGCATCACCGTCATCATCAACATGAGCAGCATCATCATCATCAGCATCATCACCATCATAATCAGCAGCGTCGTCATCATCAGATCCACCATCACAAGCACCATCACCGTCAGTATCATCATCGTCATCATGTTTGTATTAGTATCGTCATCATTTGTATTAGTATCATCATGTTTGTATTAGTATCATCGTCATGAGTAGGCTTGCTATCATCCTCCTCCTCCTTGTTCTCATCGACTCCTCCCAACCTCTTCCTGGCAGTCATCTGAACACGCGCGCCATCAGCTTGATGCCCGAAGGCGATGTCGATCCTCTCTATCGCCGTTGCCTGGCGATTGGAGTGGTGGGAGGGGCGCGACTAGAAAGGCAGAGGAATTCTTGTGGCACGGGTGCCCTGGCTCTTGCACAAGGGAGCGACGAGAGACATGAGGAGGGGCAGCAGCAAGTTGAGTCTCTGGAGGGCCATTATGGAGCCTTCCTGGGGCCCTATTGGGATTTCCTGGAGCTCTCTTTTTTGCGGGCACGATAACGTGATAACCATCAGTGTGCTTCAAGCTGACCCAACAACATCGAAGAGCCAGCATCATGCACGCGCTTGAGCGCGAGCTCCTCGGCAAACGCAAATGCATGTTAATGGTAGCTGTTATCTGACGCGTACCTCACCTCTTCCTGTCTGCTGACCACCCCACCTCGCACCGAACAAGTCTCCCGCTTAGCGGGGCTGCCGTCACCTCTTCCTGTCTGCTGAAACCAATAGAGCCATCAGCGCTAGTGTTGCCACCGTGGTCCAAACATGGGATTGCCTGAGCAAAAGGAAAACCAGATTTGAAAGAAACATCCGCGACTGCAGGATTGCCAAGCCACCAGGCGATGACCACGATAGTTGGGTCAGGCGATGCTTTGCTAACTCCAAGGTGTTCATTGACAGTTTTCAGCCATGTTCCCACAATCGTGCGTTTTTTCTGACCGTGTACAAAACTCTTGACGTACACGTGTTGCTACCAAGTCCACCGTGGAATGCATCCATGTAACTCCTGTGAGGGGGAAGGTTCACACGAAGCGCCCAGCCCGCCCTGCCAACACGTCTGGCGGAGCAACGAGGAATCATGCTTGTAAAGACGAATGCGGGCACTGTGGGCAAGAGAGCGAAACGAGGCGAGGCGAGCGCGCGGTTCCGCCGGAGGCGGGGCCCTCTAGGGTCTGCGCGGGGGGGCCGGGGCCCTCAGCGCTTGTAGTCCTTGTTTGCCGAGGTCGGGGCGCTGAGGTATGAGCTGGTGGACGCTGGAGGTCAAGTGGTGCAGGTGGAAGTGGAGGGAGGAAGAGGGTGTGGATGAAAGAATAGAACAGTGAGAGCGAGGCGAGGACGAGGACGAGGAGGACGAGGGGGAGGAACGGCAGGGGGGAGAGGCCGGAGGGGGAGAGAAGCGAGGCAGGGGCTCCCGGGCGCGCTCGGCCGCGAGTCGCCTGCACCTCCTGCAGCACCTTCAGGGATCGGAGCTTCTCCTCCACGACCTCCTTCACGGCACACCTGCGAGAGAGAGAAAGAGGCACGAGGAGCCAAAAGAGGAGCACCTCCTCCTCTCATCCTCCCCTCGGCCCCCTCTCCTCCCCGTGCTCCCCTCCCCGCCCCTCCCTTCGCTCCTGCCCGCCTTCCTCCCTCCCCTCGGGCTCACGCCAGCATGGATCCGTTGGCGGCGCGCACAAGGGGGTGGAGGGAGGGGGGAGGGCTTCTTAGAAGGAGGCTCCTTCTTAGAAGGCGCCGGCCTTACATCTGTAGATAAGGCCCGCACCTTCTAAGAAGCAGGGGTGTTTCTAAGAAGCCCTCCCACCTCCCCCCACCCCCCTCTGCGCGTGGCTGAATCAGAGCGCCAGGGATCCGGGGCGTGGGCGCCAGAGACACGGACCGGGGCACCGAACCCCCCGAAGCACGGCGCCAACACCGCTCGGGGGCAGAGAAAAGGGGAGCGCGCCGAGCAGGCATAGAAACCGGACCCGTCGCTGGCCCACGCGCCTTGATGATCCGTGGCTGCGTCTCTTCGATCCTCCCGCGGAGGAGGAGGAGGAGGAGGAGGCGGAGGAGGAGGAGGAGGCGGAGGCGGAGGCGGAGGCGGAGGCGGAGGCGGAGGAGGAGGCGGAGGAGGAGGAGGAGGCGGAGGCGGAGGCGGCGGAGGCGGAGGCGGAGGCGGAGGCGGAGGAGGAGGCGGAGGCGGAGGAGGAGGAGGAGGAGGAGGAGGCGGAGGAGGAGGAGGAGGCGCCCGCCCTGCCTCCCACGGCCCGCGCCTCCGCTCCGCCCCCCCCCCGCTCCAGACGCGCCTCCGCGCCGCCCCCCCCGCGCTCCAGAAGGCCACGCCCTCTGGGCAGCAGCAGGGGGGGCGGGGGCGGAGCGGCGGCGGAGAGCGCGGGCGAGGGCGGTCCGCGGGAGCGGGCGGGGGGGGGGAAGGGGGCGGGGGCCAGGGCGGGCGGCGGGGCGGCGAGGGCGGGGCTCCCCTCGCCCCTCCTCTTCCGCTTCCCCCCCCCCTCCCCTCGCCCCCCCCCGCCCCCCCCCCGCCGCCTACTCCGCCTCCGAGCGCCCGCGCCTCCCATCGGAGGAGGAGGAGGAGGAGGAGGAGCCCCCCCCCCTCCGCTCTGGGGAGGAGGCCACGAGCGCTGGCCACTCGCCCCAGGGCGCCCGCGCCTCTCCCAGATTCGTCCCCCCCCCCTCCGCTCTGTAAGGGCACGCCTCCTGCGGGCAGCGGCGGGGGGGGGGAGCGGCCGCGGAGGGGCGCGGGCGAGAGGGCGGTCCGCCGGAGCGGCGGGGGGCGAGGGCCAGGAGAAGGGGCAGACTGGAAGGGGCCCAGGGACACACAAAGAAATACACACAACAAACCCCAGGATGCCCGAAAGAAAAAGAGAAAGAGAATGAAAAGACGAGTAAAAAGAGAAGAAAAAAAGAGCAAGGGAAAAAAAACAACAAGAAATCAGACAAACGAAAAGAAGAAAGAAAAAAAAAAAAGAAAAGAAAACCACAAGAAAAAAAAAAACAAAAAAAAAAAAAACCCCAGGATGCCCGAGCGTTTGCTCATCTGACCCTTGATGTTCATCTTCCCCCCCACTGCCCGTGTCGACGCTTGCTTGTGTCTGTGTGTTGCTTCCCTCCTGACAGATGTGAGGGGCAACGATAAAAAGAAGGGGGGGTCAGGATCACAGAGGTGAGCATCGCCTTGGAATCGGCGATGCGCCGCCGATGGGTGGGCGATGAGCCCCCGATAGGGAATCCGCACGGTCATGGGAGGGGCGGGTCTATCGCAGTGCGATCGGTCGGCGATCAATGGGCGATTGGGGGTCGATGCATCCCCCCCCCCCCCGCGAGCCCATCCCCCCGAACGTTGCACCTGATAGCGGTGGCGACGGCGAGGGTCAGGAGGGGCGAGGGCGAGGGCGAAGGCGGTGGTCAGGAGGAGGGGCAGCGGTGGCGACGGCGAGGGTCAGGAGGGGCGAGGGCCAGGGCGAGGGCGAGGGCGGCGGTCAGGCGCAGCAGGATCAATCAGCATCGAGAAGCTGGAAAGCGTGTCGGCTCGGAACGTGCGTCGGATCGGAATGCATCGGGCACGACGTCGGCATCGAATCGGATCGGCTGCGCCGAGACGCACATCAGCGCAACGCAAGCATCGGGCCGCATCGGGTCGTTTCAAAAACGGAATCGAATAAAGTAGAACATAGTAGAGTAGGGTGGGGTAGAGTACAGAAGAGCGGAATAGAGAGTATAGATAGCAATAGAGTCGAGTAAAGTAGAGCAGAGTTGAGTAGAGTAGAGTAGAACGGAGTAGAGCAGAGCAGGGCAGAGCAGAGCAGAGCAGAGCAGAACAGAACAGAGCAGAGCAGAGTAGAGCAGAGTAGAGTAGAGCAGAGTAGAGTAGAGAAGAGTAGAGTAGAGTATAGAATAGCGTAGAGTAGAGTAGAGCAAAGCAGAGTAGAGTAGAGTGGAGCAGAGCAGAGCAGAGCAGAGCAGAGTAGAGTAGAGTAGAGTAAATTATAGTAGTGTAGAGTAGGGTGGAGTAGAGTTGACTAGACTAGACTAGACTAGACTAGACTAGACTAGACTAGACTAGACTAGACTAGACTAGACTAGACTAGACTAGACTAGACTAGACTAGACTAGACTAGACTAGACTAGGCTAGACTAGACTAGACTAGACTAGAGTAGAGTAGAGTAGAGTAGACCAGAGTAAAGCAGAGTAGAGTAGAGTAAACGTAGAGTAGAGTATAGTGGAGTAGAGTAGAGTAGAGTAGTGTAGAGTAGAGTAGAGTAGAGTAGAGTAGAGTAGAGTAGAGTAGAGTAGAGTAGAGTAGAGTAGAGTAGAGTAGAAGTAGCGTAGAGTAGAGTAGGAGTAGTGTAGAGTAGAGTAGAGTAGAGTAGAGTAGAGTAGAGAAGAGTGATACATAAGTAGTTAGTGGCGTAAAGTAGCGTAGAGTAGGAGTAGGCGTAGTGGTAGAGTAGAGTAGCGTAAAGTAAGAGGAGAGTAATAAATAGACTAGACTAGGCTAACTAGACTAGACTAGACTAGGACTAGAGTACAGTACGGTACAGCGACTATACTAGACTAAGACTAGAACTAGGACAAGACCTCGACTAGGCTAGACTAACTAGACTCGACTAAGAACAGAGTCGCGTAGGGTAGATGAGAACAAACCAGCGTATATTAGAGTAGAGTAGACAGAGGCGAGTAAGTAGAGTAGAGTTCGATTAAGTGAGTGGAGTGAGTGGCAGTGAGTTGGAGTAGAGTAAGTAGAGTAGAGTAGAGTAGAGTAGAGTAGAGTAGAGTAGAGTAGAGTAGAGTAGAGTAGAGTAGAGTAGAGCAGAGCAGAGCAGAGCAGAGCAGAGGAGAGGAGAGTAGAGTAGAGTAGAGTAGAGTAGAGTAGAGTAGCGTAGCGTAGCGTAGCGTAGCGTAGCGCAGCGCAGCGCAGCGCAGCGCAGCGCAGCGCAGCGCAGCGCAGCGCAGCGTAGAGTAGAGTAGAGTAGAGTAGAGTAGAGTAGAGTAGAGTAGAGTAGAGTAGAGTAGAGTAGATGAGAATAGAGTCGGGTCGAGTCGAGTCGAGTCGAGTCGAGTCGAGTCGAGTCGAGTCGAGCCGAGTCGAGTCGAGTCGAGTCGAGTCGAGTCGAGAAGAGTAGAGTAGAGTAGAGTAGAATAGAGTAGAGTAGAGTAGAGTAGAGTAGAGTAGAGTAGAGTAGAGTAGAGTAGAGTAGAGTGGAGTGGAGTGGAGTGGAGTGGAGTGGGGTGGAGTGGAGTAGATTAGAGTAGAGAAGGGTAGAGTAGAGTAGAGTAGAGTAGAGTAGAGTAGAGTAGAGTAGAGCAGAGCAGAGTAGAGTAGAATAGGGTAAAGTAGAGTAGAGTAGAGTAGAGTAGAGTAGAGGAGAGGAGAGCAGAGTAAAGCAGCGTACAGCAGAGTATATTAGAGTGGAGTAGAGTAGAGTAGAGTAGATCAGAACAGAGCAGAGCAGAGCAAGGCAGAGCAGAGCAGATTATATTAGAGTAGACTAGAGCAGAGTAGAGTAGAGAAGAGTAGATTCGAGTAGAGTAGAAAACAGGGTAGAGTAGAGTAGAGCAGAGTAGAGTAGACAAGAGTAGACTAGAGTAGAGTAGGAGTAGCGTAGAGCAGAGTAGAGTAGCGTAGAGTAGGATAGAGTCGAGTACAGTGGGGTAGGGTAGGGTAGGGTATGGTAGCGTAGGGTGGAGTAGAGTAGAGTCGAGTCGAGTCGAGTCCAGTAGAGTAGAGTAGAGTAGAGTAGAGTAGAGTAGAGTAGAGTAGAGTAGAGTAGAGTAGGGTAGAGTAGAGTAGAGTAAAGTAGAGTAGAGAGACTAGACTAGACTAGACTAGACTAGACTAGACTAGACTAGACTAGACTAGACTAGACTAGACTGGACTAGAGTAGACTAGACTAGACTAGACTAGACTAGACTAGACTAGACTAGACTAGACTAGACTAGACTAGACTAGACTAGACTAGACTAGACTAGACTAGATTAGACTATACTAGAGTAGAGTAGAGCAGAGCAGAGCAGAGTAGAGTAGAGTGGAGTAGAGTGGTGTAGAGTGGAGTAGAGTGGAGTGGAGTGGAGTGGAGTGGGGAAGAGTGGAGTAGAGTAGAGTAGAGTAGAGTAGAGTAGAGTAGGGTAGAGTAGAGTAGAGTAGGGTAGAGCAGAGCAGAGCAGAGCATAGCAGAGTGTAGTAGAATAGAGTAGAGTAGAGTAGAGTAGAGTAGAGTAGAGTAGAGTAGAGTAGAGTAGAGTAGAGTAGAGTAGATTAGAGTAGAGTAGAGTAGAGTAGAGTAGAGTAGAGTAGAGTAGAGTAGAGTAGAGTAGAGTAGAGTAGAGTAGAGTAGAGTAGAGTAGAGTAGAGTAGAGTAGAGTAGGGTAGAGTAGAGTAGAGTAGAGTAGATCAGATCAGAGCAAACCAGAGCAGAGTAGAGTGGGGTGGAGTGGAGTGGAGTAGAGTGGAGTAGAGTGGGGTAGAGTAGAGTAGAATTTAAGTAGAGTGGAGTAGAGTGAA